TTAAAATTGACATTTTGGTTTTTCAACCCAATTTCAAATTGAAACATTTTTCAAAGTAACAAAAATTCTCATGAGATAAGATTTCCTTCCCAGCTCTTCTTAGAAGTTTCTACTCCTAACCACTGTTTCTAACAAAATGTGAACATTGTGTATTCTATATTTTCAGGAATTGTTCCAAATAGGAAAAAACGTATCTGGCAAATCTTAATCTTGTTTCCTCCATCTTCTTGGCTATCCACTGAAGGTTCCAATGCTAAAATAGTTGACTTTATTTTTGATATTGTAAATACCTAGAGTGGAAGTAACTTGACATGAGTCTGATCGTGACTTTTCAAGCCAAAAGCCTCTGGGGAAACAAACATGCAGAAGCTGAATGAGGGACTGGAATAAATCCATTAAAAAAAACTGTCAGACTGCTTTTCTTGAGATCAGCATCATCCATACAAGGGCCCCAAACTTTCTTCAAGTCTAAGTAACTACTTGTAACCAGAGTAAGTATATGCAAAAAAAATGTATTCAAATATCTTCTGTTCATACTTAGCCTTTCACCTTATTTTCTGCAGCCAACAGACTCTTGATGAAACAGTACTGTTGTGCACAATGACAAGTTTGTGTATCCCTACTCTGTTCCAAGACAAAAAGAAAATGGAAAGAAAAGCAAGCTCCAGAGTAACAGGAAAGCAGGAGAGATAATCACTACCAAACCCTCACACATAACCCACTGAAGAAGATATAATAAAAACGTACTGAAACTGAGTTATTGGAATTGAGAGCTAATTTTTTTTATATTTTATCAGACCAATATACTAGAAAAACTTTAATTCTTGCTAACTAATTTAAACTGAGAAAGAGGTTTTAGCTATTTCCAGTACCTCACACATTTCGTTGGCACACTGACACAACACACTTAAATCCTGGAACAGTGGTTCTCAACCAACAGCCCACTTCCAGCTCATCAGCATTCAACTGTGACATCCTCTGAGCCAAACAGAGTATATATACAGGCAGTCCCCGGGTTACGTACAAGATAGGGACTGTAGGTTTGTTCTTAAGTTGAATCTGTATGTAAGTCGGAACTGGCGTCCAGATTCAGCCGCTGCTGACTTGGGGACACCTGGGGCAGAGCAGCTAGGGTGCTGCTGGGTTGGTCCAGTGGCGCCCAGAGCGGCGCTACGGGACCAAT